AAAACTTATTCCCTACAAGAGCACTACTTTGTCTGAGACGTCCGAGTGGCGCAAAACCGTCCACGCCAATAGAAGTCCAAACAAGAAAAATAAGTAGGCAAAGAAAAAAGTAATTTTTAAAAGGTTCCATTAAAAATTAAATTAAAATTGTTAGATTAACATGTTTAAATAATGTCAAGTAAATTTTATGTTTCATCATTAGTTTGCATTTGCATTAGTGATGCCTGACGAAACCATGTGATGCTAATTGTCACATGCTACAATATATAAATAATTAACAATTAATTATAATTTTTATAAGCAATAACATGTGACAATTAGAATCACATGGTTTCGTCAGGCATCTATAATTTGCATTAAGAGAGGGGATTCTGAATAAACAAGCTATAAAAATATCAACCTTAGTTTATAACTATATTAGTCAATCCGCAATATTATCCATAAATCGGTAGATCTCATTTTATTGATGCAATAACCAGTTTCCAACAAGTAGGGTTGGCGAAATGCATGATCATGGTGGTTTGGTTAATATCCGAGACATCATGATAAGAGGAAAATTTGCTTGGGTTAGTATTCTTATTTGCCCTTACCCACACATAAAATGTTGTAACCAACCTTATCCAAGTTACGTCCTTCAAATAACCTTTACTAATAGAGTGGCTTAAGTATCTGCAGTTATACTAAGCCTTTACATTGTAACTCACTTTTGTAATTTACGTCATGATTTTCAGCCGATAAGCCACATAATATCCAAGCCTTGAGGCACAATTCATTACAGTTTCGGAAATATCACTTTTACCCCTTAACAGTAACTACATTTAATTTATTTAATGTTAACCAATATGACACAATTGTTCCAAATTGTTCTTATTTAGTTTAGCTTATCGTTATGGTAATCGGATTTTAGCTCCGGATATTCAAGTCTTGATAGGATAGGCCTTTTTCGAGTCGCATTAATTGTTTATTCTAGTCATGATGATTTTTTTGGCCAGTAATAATAGTAGCAAGGTTTTCTTGTGGCAACTGATAAATTTTACTCCTGGAACTTGGGGAAAAAATAATAGCAAAATAAAGTCATTATCACAACATATGTTTATACATACATATACATATGTACGTACTAAGGTCTTGAATAGTTTGGATAACAAAAACTAATTTCTTTAGGATAGCATTAAGCATAAAGATAGAAATAAAGCTGGGAAAGCTTATCTTGCACATTTAGCTGATATTTTAATTTGCTTGTAGCTATCATTATATATGGTTATAAATTTATATGCATTTATATTAATTATTTACCAAATTGTTACAAATTTGTAAAACAATTATGTGGGCCGAGTGCTATAGAAAGGGGGAAATCAACAAAAAAAAGATCTTCGGAAAATCAATTTTTATGTTATAAATTTTATAATAAATCATATGATTTTACAAATTTTGAAGAAGGACGGATTGGATATTTAATAGCTGTAGAGAAAATAAGGTTCATGTAATTGGCATTAAATTTAAAAGAGTTAGAAGAGACTTTTCCAAAGAATTGAATCGATGTAATAGCTGATATGTTGATTGTACAGGCTAAAATAGATTATTTTAATAAAATTTTAAGTAGTTTAAAGAGCTACAATGCAAAATTTTATTAATACAACTACTTTTGTGTCTTAAGTAAAAAATGGTCTTGATCTTATTCTAAATTAATTTATATAAAAAAAAATAATTTAATAAATTTGTTAATTTCTCCCTTTCTATAGCGCCTAGCCCATATAAATACATGAAACTAGATCTCTGGAAAATTAAAGCGAAATTTGTGTTCATTATAAACGATATTTCTTAGTTTCAGGAAAAAAGAAACAGTTAATATGCAAAATTTTATTTTAAAAGAGCCCAATGGCTAAATATAGACTTAACAGTTAGTACAATGTACAATTTTAAAAAAATAAAGCTTATTTTGTAGTCCATCCATTGGTTGATCTAAACAAACTTGAAAATATTTTACTGTTGCAAATAGATTTGAAAACTTTGATCATAAAAAAGTTAGCTTTGTCAATAAGCTTTTCTATAAATAAATTCTGATTAGCATCCATCTTATTCACGAAGAATTTCTTGCTTAGTGTAGATGAATGGTTATGTTTATAACTATGCGGCATAATATATTGGCCGCTTGTCTTAAATAAGAACTATGTACTATTTATTTTAGTATAAGTTCAAAAAATTTCAAAGATATTAGCCAAGGCGACCAGCAAAAGTGCGGGTCTCATAATAATGCACAATTATCAATACATTTATAATAATCGTCATTATTTTGATTAAACGGAAATTTAAATTACATGAACCAATTTTAACTAGTTAGTAAACCTAGTTAGCTAGATTTATTTATTTCTATTAATCATTAAGCACTTTGATTGGATAAAAATTAAAGTTCCTTTTTATACTGGTACGTAGTATTTTGATTAAATGCATAAATTATGCAACAATACAAATTAGTTCACACGTAGCATTTAAAGTGTTGATGAACAGCTATCTCAAACTGGTTTAGTTTAAACAAATAACGGTTTGAGTCCCAAATTGAGTCAATATAGTTTCATTCTAACTACTAAACATCTCTAAGTACAAATATTTGTTGTGAATAATAGATTTCGGGTCGAAATAGACCTCTTAAATTTGATAAATGGCAGGGCAAGGTTTCAGATGGTCTACACTAATTTGAGACTAACGAAATTATCCGGTTACCCACCATGCAATTTGATACATTACGGCGCATTTTTTGGAGGTAGTTCCCCAAGAACACCTCCAAAAATCAGCCAATCAGATTTCGAGATAAGGTGTAACGTGAAATCAAAACAATCAAAACAATCGGAATAAACGAAAAATTTAAAGCAATAAAACCTCAACACTAGGGTTAGCTTTAGGGTGAGGTTAGGGCATAGTATATACCAAAATTTGGCGAGGAATTTTTTTGTTAGAACACAAAAGACAGTTTCATAGGCAAGATTTTGAGCTACAAACGATTTTTCAAAAAGTGCATAATTTCACGTTACACCTGATCTTGATGCGCAGAATTTTTGGAGGTGTTCTTGGGGTAGTTGTTCTTGGGTAAATATGAATATCGGAAAATCCCGTGATCATCATTTCACGTGATCTGCGAAAATTTTTTGACTGGTTTTAAATGCTGTTTTCTGACCCCAGATTTTGTCGAACTAGTGAATTTTGGTTGCGCGACTAGAAATTTAGAAATCGTATCTTTTCAAATTTGATCAAATGTATCTTGACTACCATTAAACTTTTTTATTGTAATTCTATAAATTTTTTATTGTAATTCTATAAATTTGCATAATTAAAAAAAAAATTATTGACGTTGAATAGGTAGTGATCGAGATATCATTGTTTAATTTTGAAAAAAGCCTTATATCAGCCTCCGTTTTGATATCTAAGTTTTTCCTCCCAAATTTATAATTCTATTTGTAAGTATAATTATACCGTTAGGCCGCTTGAGATAAATTTTCGGTTAACATCACTTTTAGAACTCTTGGGAGGGAGGAAGGAGAAAATGAAACGATCAAATAAGATGAGCAACTTGTTTTGAAGTAACAGATCCATTGTGATGAGTTAGCTTCAAGTTTAAAGGCTACTGAACTATTGCAATTTTAATTGAATTGTTCGAAGTTAATTCGCTAGTTAACATTTTTGGTAGCGCCATTTTTGTACAATCAAGAGAAACCGTTTTTCTCGATGTGACCCTTTCAACGCTAAATACAACAAATCCTTTATGGTTCTTATCAAATGCTTCAGTCCCGACTAATTCTGCATTTACTAGTGCATGTGTTGGCGGTTCTAATAAAAATACGATATATCTTTTAGAGCACCTTAATGAAACTAATGCAATTAGTAATACTACTATGGTTTATGTCTTTGATACTGTAAGTGAAACATGGAATACACCCATTATTAGCGGGACGCTCCCTGTAAGTCGACAACAATTTCAAGCTGTTAATGATACTAATGGTAGAATATATATGTATGTTTATCTTTTATCTTTATCATTGTATTTTCTTTAGAAATTATATAAATCACACCATGGTGTTTAACAACGTAACAATCTAATAACCATAGTGCATAAAAAATTTTTTTACCATTAAGGTTAGAGTCAAAATATAAATATGGTGTTGAACACCAGTGGTGTGAGTTGCAGTATAAACGTTCTATCTTTATTACGTCTATTTGAATTTCTTAGGTTTGGAGGATTCAGGAGTACTGGTCCTAGTACTGCTCTTAATGACATTTTTATACTTGACACTTTAAGCTTGACTTGGACACAAGGTTCTTCTGTTGATGCACCAACGGCACGTTCGGACTTTTCTGCTACACTTTTAAATAATGGTCTCATACTTTATATTGGAGGTGGTGACAATATTAATATGGCCGAGGTGATTAAATATAATTAAGTATTTAAGTTTATTATTTAAATCATTGAGAATTAAATTATTGTATTTTTACTCTATTTACTCTCCCGAGCTAGATTCCGACTTTTAATACAAATAGCGGGGCATGGTCTAAAATGGTAATGCTCTCGGCAAGCTTTAATTTTTCAAATTTCATATTTTATATCTAAGGAAGCATATATAAATTATTAGGTTGCTACTGGTGATACAATAGACCCTAGAAGTGGCCACACTGCCGTATTATCCCCACATGGGCATGTTATAATTTACGGTGGAACTAAAAATAACAGTGCTTTAGATCAAAGCCAACAGTTGGCTTCATTAGATACAACTGTTAATCCGTATAAGTGGTCTAAAAAATCATTTAATGGTATTAATGTGCCACCTCCGCTTGTATTTCATTCTGCAACTATTGTAGGAAAGTTTATGATTTTAGCATTCGGTAATTATACGATCTATTTAGTTTATTGAATATATATATATATAGTTGTGTGTGCGTATTAATTCATTGTTAATTTATAAAAAGGTGTATCTGGCACAAGTAATAATGTTTATGACTTGAATATTAAGAATACACAATTATACCTTCTTGATACTCGAAATTACATGTGGGTCACGGACACATTGCAACAACCTAATTCCACTACTTCACCTAACCCTCAAAATCCTTCAGTTACTCATATTCAAACTGTCGTTGCTTCAAATTCTAATGCATTAAATACAGGTGTAATAGTGGCGATTCCTATAGTTTCAATTGCCATTCTTGCAATAATAGGCTTCACGGGGTATTGGCTTTATAAAAGAAATAAACAAAAAGATATCATTCGTATAGCAGGTTCTAAAGGAGGGTACTAAGTTTTTATGTAAAATATTTAAGTAAATTCTTTGATTAATTATAACCCATGTATAAATATTTAAATTTCATATTTAATACAGTATATAAGCTTATAAACCATAAAAATATAAAATAAATAAAAACATACGTTCAAAGAACAAATAAGAAGTCTTGCATTTATAGAGACCAAGCATATACGATTTTGTCCAAGGTTTGAAATTGCACTTAGAGAGGTTTCACTTTACTTGAGGTGTTGTCATTCCAAGCGTGCGTAATGTTACTACTGTATTATATTGGGAGAGTTAACTACAATAGTAGTTGGTAAGTAATTACTAGCTTTATATCGATCTTTAACATGGCTTATTCATATGAGATGAAATAATTCCTATCCTGATCCTTTCTAATATTATAAAAAAGTACATGTGAACAATTTTAAATAAATATTCATACAGTCAGACCTCTCTAAGTGCACGCTCTTGGGACCACACTTTAATACAGTCAGACCTCTCTAAGTGCACACCCTTGGGACCACACTTTAATGATGTGCATTTAGAGAATAATAAGAAAAAATGCATTTATAGAGATCAAGTATATATTTGGGCCAGAATCTAAATGTGCATTTAGAGAGGGTGTGCACTTATAGAGGGTGCACTTAGAGAGGGCCGACTGTAACATGCATTTAGAGAATACAGTCAGGCCTCTCTAAGTGCACGCTCTTGGGACCACACTTTAACAACATGCACTTAGAGAATAATAAGAAAAAGTGCATTTATAGAAGTCAAGTATATATTTGGGCCAGAATCTGAGCGTGCATTTAGAGATGGTTTGCACTTATAGAGGGTGCACTTAGAGAGGTCTGACTGTATTAGCATTAGGGATGGGTTCGGTCAGCTACGGTCGGTTATCGGTCAGCTATTATTTATCGGTTATCGACTAATAGCCGGCTATAACTGGTTATAGCCGATCGGTGTCTAAAGCATCGCATTTAAAAACAAACAAATCGACAGCAGGGGTTCAGGTGAGACCGTCCCAAATTAGGTAAAAATTCCGATATAGTTACACAAGAATAAATTTTTTTTTTATAGGTTTTACGACACTTTTTTACATTTTTAGGGGCTTCGGGTAACCTATCCCTTTTAACAAACGTGAC